AGCCGTAATTATTTTCGGCATTTAGGCATTTTGAAGAGGCTGCCGAAAATATAAAAAATGCCGTAATGCCGTAAATCGACTCGAATTTAGGCACACATGTATAACCCTATCCTATAAAAAAAGGTTGATCCGTGTTTTATATTCCATGTTTTTTTCCTTAAATGTTGCATATTCACGGAATTTATAACCTTAAATCATGGAGATTATTCGGCTTGTCTAGATTTTGTCGATCATTCTGAAAATTCATGGAGTTTTTACAATAAATATGGAAAAATAATGGAGTTATTCGGATAAAATTTCTTACAGTGCTATTATCAGATTATTTATAATAGATAAGTAATAAACTTCAACGTTTAGATATTTGTATCAAAAAAATAAAATCAATAGTAAAATTTTATTCAAATCTCAAAGTTTTACAGCGTGTGTGAACTCACTAAGAATAAATTAAAATATACTACTGTATCAAAAAAATAAAATCAATAGTAAAATTTTATTCAAATCTCAAAGTTTTACAGCGTGTGTGAACTCACTAAGAATAAATTAAAATATACTACAATATAAGGTTTTTTTTAAAAAAAAAAGAAATAAACTTTTGGGGTTGTAATTTTCTAAAACAAAAATTTGACAGAATAATAATAAAATAGAAACGTAATTAAAAATTTTAATGTTCATTCTTCAAAATCTACAACGGATCATTAGGGAGTTGAGTCAGCTGATCAATAACTTTTAAACGTTTAAGCATTTCAATTATGAAAATAGCTAACAATGATATAATAAATGGTAAAATATAAGGGTACTTAAATTTAACAAATTCATTAGGTGGTATAGGGAACAACGGAGCAAGCATCATAAAAATTAAACATAGAACAAAAATAGGTAAATATGTTCTATAATATGAATCTTCTATCCGTAGATACTAATTTTTAAAATAAATATATTGATTAAAATTAAAGTAGTAAAACTAAACAAATAGAACAATTAATTTGACTTACAATTAAATAACATGCGCTAGCACCATAAATCAGTAATATCAAGTATTCAGACATTTCAGAAAAAAATGTATAGACGTTTACGGGCGGAAAAAAAATAATTATAATTGAACAATAAACAAATTGTGCAATTAAATTACGGTATGAATTTTCATTTATACTAAATAAGACTTGATGAATTTTTGGTATATATTTGAATTCTTCAAAACATATTGAACTCCTATTAAATTTAAAGAAATTTGTTAAGTATTCTAAATATTCTAATTATTTCTAGTTATCCGGCATGATATTACGGGAGTACGTAAATACGTAATAGCAAAATCATGTGGCCTTCGACCAGTGCGCTGTCGATCCATATACGTATCATGCCGGGTATAATATTTCACAGTTCCTATGCTTGTAATACTTTCTGGTTAAATTTTTACTGAAGACATCAATGTATGTAGAATAATTTGATATTTTCACGCTATTACGTCATCATAAAAATGTTGTCGGAAATGTTCACGGGCGAACATTAGAAACCGTGGAATATTATATCTTATTTTTATATATAAATTTTAATAAGCTTACAACAAAACCATCGAATCCATAGAACTAAAGGAGGAAATTGCAATAAGATATGACATATATTTTCTTCCAAAATCACCAAATAATCTTATTCCATAATCGATTGCAATACTTTCATTAGCGTTGTTTGGATCTGCTACAACTTTTGGATCAACTATTGATATAAAAGCAACATTTACAAGAATATCTATAAAGTAAAATAGATATTAAATATATTTCATGAGATAATTTAAATTGACATACTGAATCATAATAAATTGACAACTTACAAAGTATAAAAGAAACGCAAACTCTAACAAGTGCTGAATATTTCCGATATGCACATTCCTCTCTCAATTCAATAGATGAATCTATAAAAAGACAATTTCAAATGCATTTAACATCTTACTAGCCCTAACATAAATATTCGTATAAATGAACTTACAACTTAAATGATTCCATCCTGAATGTTTAGTATAATTCATTATATTAATTATTTCATTACAATTAACAAATCAATGCTAAGAATTTCAATTACCTTCATATGAATATAGTACCTATATTTAAAATTTCCGTAAATTTTAATCCTTAACTTATAAATTTTATATATTGTAATAAAAATTACATACTTGTAACAAAGCATTGCCATAACCTCCAATAGATTCGGAAGCAGTTCTTGGATATGAATAGTTGTTAGATAGTGTATGATTGAACGCTCCATTCCAATTATTTTTAATCGAGGAACTAAAACTAGGGTCGTTTGCTTTTAATAAGCCATAGAGAGACAAAACAAGTAGGGAAACAACCTTGAACACAACTAATACTTGATTTAAGCAGACTGCATAGCTAACATGTTTGCTTCTAATAGCTAACATGTGATATGCAGTAATGATCCCCAAAAGAGCAACTGCTATAAGACGTAATGCACTATGAAATTTAAAGTGCTTACATTAAATAATGCTAGTAAATAAATGACGTCATTGCATGATTTCACGTGATGTGATAATCGCTGGGTTGGAGTGTCTTATCGTCACTTACATAAAATCATTGCCAAAATATGAACCAAAATCTTTGCCATAATGATTAAATTCTTCACCGTCAGCTCCTTGAATTGCATAAAGCAGATATTTAGAAGCAATGAAGGAATTTGCTATAATTGCGGCGGGTATAATAATACTTTAGGCGATTAAATTATTGAGGTGTTATAATTTGCACAGCATATAATTGAGTCACATGAGCTTAAGAAATTACACACTTTACTGTAGCGAAACCAAATAAAAATCTAAATAGTTGATTGTTGAATGCAAATCCATATGCTGTTGATTCAAATGGTCCTTTTTCACTTAATCTCCAAACAAGAAAACCATACAAATTAATAACGCCACCAATAATCCAAAGTATTAAAGCAGCTCCTGGTGATTGAACAAGTCTCCAAGTGCTACCGGGTGCTATAAAAATTCCTTTAAAAATATACAAAAATTAATGAAACTTGTAGTGTAAAATTGAAAAAAGACAAAAAAAAAAAAAAAATTCATAAAATATGAGCTTTTTTTTCTTTTTTTATTAAAAAAAAATACAAACCAGCACCGACTATAAGATTTATAGCTTCACCTATTTTCCATTGATCTTGTTTTTGATCTGGTTCAACTAGAACCTCGTTTTTATTTGGACTTTGAACAGTTGGCGGAAGGTCTTCTTTGTCCACAGAAATAATATCGGTTGACATATTAACCGTTTTGCTGAGAATATTTGACGTACAGATAAAAGAAGACTCAATCGACTATTCACTCGCAAATAATTATTTTTGTATAATGACAGTTTAATATAACTAAACCTAAACGATTTGCAATACCAATTCTTGCAGTACAGTTCAATAAATGATTAAATGAGATAAATGAGGATTCGAATTCGGACGTATGACATCATATTAATGCATTACAATTGTTTTACGGTTACGGCAGAAAAAAAATTGTACAATGAATTCCAGTAAAGTTAATGCATGTACATTTTATTGCAACAGATATACTCATTCAACGGTAGTTCAACGGTAACACTATTGTCAAAAATCCAAAATCGACATTAATTCAAGATACTTACATGGTTAAATATTTCCTAAAATTCTTTAATTCGAAATGCGCATTTTCATTTAATCCTACCTTTTAAATTGCGGTGAAAAACGAAAAGAATGTCAACCGTGAGTAACAGTAATACAAACGGAGTATATGTATGACTATAGAATGCGTGGGAAGAAGACAATGCCATTTCGTTAGTTTCATATCTCGATTGAGAGTTATCTGAAGCCTTTACAATATTTATTTATTTTTCAATTCTAGATTTGATTCTTATTCAAAAATTTTTTCTACCACTTGACATGATTATATATTTTCTCTGCTAATAGTTAGCTACCTTCATCACAGATATTCTAGCGTATTCGTGATTGCTTAGTTTATATGATACTGTTACAGAAGTTGCCGTTGTCCGAAGTTGCACCCACCCGAAATTGCTACCTGATTTCAGGGGGCTTAAATTTTAATCAGTTGCGATGGAAACATCGTCCCTAACTATATGTTATACGACTATGTATACAAGTGTCGATTGCAAAAACAGTATAATACTGATTGATAATCAAAGCCACCAAGCGCTATTAACTAAATCATTTCGTTACAGCATAAGAACGCATCAGTAAATTAGTACGAAATATGATCTATCCGTGACCGATTTTGATTGGATGACCTCAACAAAAAAAAGCTCGTGAAATCTTCTATGCAGGTACAAATTCGGTCCCTTTGGAATTGTAATTCCGGGCAGGAGCACGGCATTATCTCATTCAATTATTCTATTTCCTTATGATCTTGTTTGTATAAATGGAAATGTGTTTACTCAAACATACATTGTGTAAATGTTTATGATCTTCATTTAGGACGTTTATCCCATTTCCGAGTAAATGGGCAAATAAATGGAAAGTAAATGGGTACAGTACATAAGTTTATTTTATTTGTATAACCGAGTAATCAACTTGAGTACAGAGGTGACATCGTGCTGCACAAGACTCTTTTAAGAAGGTTGAATGATATATTATTTTGTTCTTTAGAATAGTACAATTAATTATTAAGTGTAACCATCACTCGGTGTACAGAATTTCAAGAATTCTTATTTATCATTGTCTGTTGTAATGGCAATTATCTACTGTATATAGAACTTACTTATACGTACCCGATAATTTAAACGTGTGTACAACAAGACTATCTATTACATTTATTCAGATACACGCATACTTTATAGCTGTGCCCAAATTACCAAAATTATGGCTAATAAAGATTGGCTCGAAAATTCCAATAATTTAATTAATTATCATGAATATAGTGGATTCACTAATCGTTTAGAAATTGGTAATGGAGGCTTTGCAACAGTTTATAAATGCGAGTGGAAAGATCTTGAATTAACGGTTGCCCTTAAATGTCTTAAAATCGCTAATGCAAATTTTGATAAAAAGTTTGTCCAAGAGGTATAGTTTAGTTTATCCAACGAATAAATTATCTAATTGCGAAAATCAGATAATGATATATTAAAATTCCTATATGTGTAATGAAAAGCTTAAGCTTTTGCATAGGGCTTGCAATCATCCTAATGTTATTGGTTTTTATGGAGTCACGAAAGGTATATATGGCTTTTTTAGGCAGAAATTAACAACTGATTTTGATCGTTATTATCGTTATATAGATCATAATGGGTATTATAATATGATTTTACAATTTGCTGACGGTGGAAATTTACGGGAATACTTAGCAAAAAACATTACCAACTTGCAATGGACGAATAAATTACGTATGGCCAAGAAGATATTATGTGGTCTAATGTATTTACATAATAATGACATTGTTCACCGCGACCTTGTAGGTGAATTAAACTATACTATATATATATATATATAATGCCAATTTTAATTATATTTAATCGCATTATTTGTTCGCAGCATTCAAAGAATATTTTAATTCATCAAGAACATCCAATGATTGCAGATTTTGGATTATCAAAACAGTTAAATGAAGCATCTACGTCTATATCTATAGCTTACTCGAGTATTCATGGAATGGCAGCTTATATAGAACCTCAATACTTTCTTAACCCTAGTTACAAACGTGATAAACGATCTGACATGTATAGTTTGGGTACAATTCTCTGGGAAATTTCAAGTGGAAAACCACCATTCCCGTTAATCCCTATTGTATCACTTTCGGTTCAAATATGCAACGGAAAAAGAGAGGATCCTATAGAAGGTACTCCATCCCAATATGTTGAACTTTATAAAAAATGTTGGGATAATGATCCTACTGTACGTCCAGAAGCAAAATTAATCCTCACAACATTAAACTTACTTCTCAACGAAACCTCAAATCATGATTCAACTCCAAGTGATCATAATAAAACTTTGGATCAGCTAAACCATAATAATATTACACTTGTAAATAAGAGAAAAAATGCACTTGAGTGTTTTACTAAAGGCAAATATGTCGATGCATCAAAGCTTTATAAAGAAATTCTTGAGGATAATCAGCATAATAATGAAGATATACAAAATGCTTCAATTTGGAATATTTCTATACATCTTGATGACAAAAAAATAAGTGAATTAGCAAATGTTCTTTACAAAAACACTAACTTAGTTTCTTTATGTCTCTCTAATAATGGACTTGATTCTAACGGAGGAAAAGAATTAGCACAAGCTCTTTGTAATAATACCACTTTATTGTCTTTAAATATTGGTTTTAATAAGCTTGGTTTTGAGGGAGGAAAGGCTATAGCAGAAGTTCTCCGTAGCGATACTAAACTGACTAATTTGAATATTGAACATAATCAACTTGGTTTTGAAGGTGGTGAAGCGCTGGCATTAGCACTTCACAAAAACACAACTATAACTTCTTTAAATCTTCGTGGTAATAACTTTGAATATAAAGAAGGAGAATTGTTAGCAAAAGCTCTTTACAACAACAAAGTTTTAACTTCTCTAGAACTTTATGGCAATGAACTAGGTCCAAAAGGAGGAAAAGCGTTAGCAAATGTTCTTTACAAAAACGCTACTCTAACTTCTTTAAATCTTGGATCAAATAAACTTGGTTATGAAGGTGTAAAGGCATTAGCAGAAGCTCTTTATAAAAATACCTCTTTAACTTCTTTAAGGATCCAATGGAATGAAATAGATTCTGATGGAGGCAAAATTTTAGCAAGAGCTGTTTGTAGAAATACAATTTTAACTTTTTTAGATCTTGGATTTAATAACCTCGGCCATAGAGGAGGCAAAGCATTCGCAGAAGCTCTATGTGCAAACAAAACTTTGACTTCTTTAAATTTAGAAAATAATATACTTGGCTATGAAGGAGGAAAAGTATTAGCAGAGGCCCTTTGTAAAAATTCTACTCTAAAATCTTTAAATCTTAGAGAAAATAATATTGGTTCTAAAGGAGTAAAGGCATTAAAAGCTTTCGCTGAAGCTATTCGTAAAAATACTACTCTATCTTCTTTAGACCTTAAATGTAATGAAGTTGGTTTGGAGGGAGGAAAAGTATTAGCAGCGGCTCTTGGTGAAAATACTGCCTTAACTTCTTTAATTCTTAGAGAGAATAAACTTGGTTTTGAAGTAGGAATAACTTTAGCTGAAGCACTTTGTAAAAATACTAATCTAAATTCTTTAGATCTTCAAGATAATCAACTTGGTCCTGAAGGAGGAAAGGCGTTGGCACATGCACTTTGCAACAATACTATTTTGAAATCTTTAAATCTTGGCAATAATGGACTTGGCCCTGAAGGAGGAAAGGCAATAGCTAATGCTCTTAATAAAAATACTACGCTGACTTTTTTAGACCTTGAAAGTAATGGACTCGGTTCTGAAGAAAAAATGGTCAAACCACATAGTGAAAATACTAATTTAACTATATTGTTATAACCATTTTATTGCTTTCAATTTATTTGTCTAATAAATATTAACCTAAATAAACTTACTGTTTATTAACAATTAAATTAAACATACTACTGTAAAAAAAGAAGTCTAAGATTTATACCAGTTACAATCAACTCTGAATATAAAAGATTTCTATATAATGAACTCATATATAAAAACTTAAACTTTTATAGCTATTTGGTACAAATAAAGTGCTAAGATTCTTAAGAAGTTTGTAATCTTTATAATGAACCTTTTTCATCCAGAATGTTGTAAAAGAACTGACTATATATTACACTACTCCTGCATTCGTTATGCTTGATAGCGAATAGCTTGTTTTTTCTTGTGGTTTATGATTGGAAAGTTACGTTGAACTGATAGAGAAATCAAATATCTTATAAAAACATATAAAATCTAGATATGACGAACTAAAAATTCTTAAATTTATATAAGTTCGGTATAAAAAGATTACAAAAATAATAGAGGCTTGATCAAGCTTATGTAGCTTGAAGTAGAACATTGTGAAATTACTTATTGTCATGGTTAAAGCTTGAAAATTTAAGAATAAATGGATTTTAGTGTACACTGTTCTTTATTTTTTTTTGTTTTGTACTTTGTCTTATATCTGTTTTATTTAAAAAGTATCTCTGTAGATCTTAATATTGCTACAACTACTCATGCGAGAGTCTTATAACCACAGTCATTATTTAAATATTGATTCGGACAATACCTTATATAGTTATATTTTATCCATTTATCTCCCATACACGTGTTTATTTCCTTAGATTTTATAGATTCCTTCCAAGGGAGCTTATGGGATCTTGCCTTCAACCTATAAAACTCTAATTCGTATGATTATTGTATATTTATAACTTACTAGAAAAAGACTCGATTGATTATCCTATATTTAAGTGCAGTCCTTGTCCCACTTTAAAAACTTTGAAAGCGTGGCCACCCTAATTGTGTCTTATCAAATTACTTTCAGATCACACATCAAATTAATGATGCAAATCACGCTTTTCAGAAGATTCTTAATATTTAAACTCAATTATGGTTGCAGGCAACGTGGCTACTGATAAGCTGGCCTTTTCCCTGGGCTTCAGCAACCAAAATTTAGTCGGCCTCCTACCAAGAGTGCTGTTCTTCCAGCAACACGCACGGAATAAGCGGCATCCCTTTCGGGAGGGGATAGACCACCAACGCTCTTACTCGTTAACTGCATCTAAACCACTTATGGTTGTCTTTAATATTCAGGTGTCAATGTATATAATTTCATTTCCCATCCGAGGACCTGCCTTAGTAGCAAATCATTATCACTTATTCGAATAATCAGTAAACTTTATGTTGTATATAAAAATTTATACAGTTCAAGTTCACCTTATCCTTCATGAATACTAGTATTCTCGATTTTTACCATTTCAAAAACTTTTATCACCCACGTTCCCGTTAAGGCCTTCGCGTTGCATAAGGAATAGGATTGGCCTTCTTATGCCCTTTAAGACTCCAGCTTCATCCATGTGGATATTGATAGTTGTGATATAATAGGATAACTAAATTAGTAAGTTTACTTTCAGAACAATAAAGGCCCTCTAGTTTTGTCAGGTTAGTGAGGTTTAAAGAGATAATCTTGTTATCCAAACTTAGTCTTATATCCGCCCCTTTCTTCACCTAGCCCGGAAGTGAAAGACAGAGGCGCTTATAAATTAAACCAAAAAAAACGCACTCGCTTCCTCTCCCATTGTATAATTGTTTTTGTTCTGCCATCTTTAAAGCTACGGAATCCAGAAGTTCACCTAATATGTACAAAAACTTTTAAATAAAATCCTAAATTTAATATTTTCCGATAGATGTTCATTGTTCTACCAGATACCGACTAACTTCATTATTTACATTGATAACTTCTCATATTAAAGACTCCATGTGCTCGAAGGTCCGAAGGCCTTACCTAGTGGTCTAGGACTTGGTTGCGTTTAACTCATTTGTATCAGTGTAGGAAATTCGATTTTGAATTAAAGTTCTCATGAAAACAAATTCAATAGCTATAGTGTTCACAAAATTTAAATTATGTTCTCAAATAATAAATGTAGTTCTCAAATAATAAATGTATTGAATAATCAATGGAAATATAAATATGCATTTAGAAAACCATTAAAATATTTTCAATTTTTTTTTTTTTTATTAATTGATGATTCGCGATAGAAAGGGAATATTTTATAATATTTTATTAATAAAAATGGGGTGATTTTTATATGTATTATTATAGATGTTGAGATCAGAATTCATGATATATACAACTTTTTTTTTATCAAATAAAGGTCTCTTTAAGCTTTAATAAAAGTTGTGGATGCAGTTTTTCTAATTCTAATGAGATATAGTCATCTTTATCTTTGTGACTGTATAAAATTTCTTTGCAGATCTGTAAAGAAAATTATATAGTCGCGAAGATAAAAATGACGCACGAAAAAATTCTGTGCCAGGTTTTGTCGATCATCCGGTTGTGTAACGTTCCATGCATATTCGATGATCGACAATATATACAGCAGCATTTATTTTTTATTTTCCTTTAACTTTGATCGAAGATATCTCGATAACTACCTGGCCAAATTCGATAAAAACAGTTTTATATGAATTCTATGAATCCGTAGAATTCAAATAAAAAAAGTTTCATAAAATTTGATCAGGTGGTTGTCGAGATAATTTCGCTCAAAGTTAAAAAAAAATTAGGCGCAGCTTTATTTTGATAGGCGTTTTGATTTTTTTCTAACTTTAAGCGAAGATATCTCAATAACCACTTGACCAAATTCGATAAACCTTTTTTTATTTGAATTATATTAACGCATAGAATGTAAACAAAAAAGGTTTCATTGAATTTGGTCAAGTGATTGTCGAGATATCTTTACTCAAAGTTAGAGGAAAATCAAAATGCCTATCAAAATAAAAGCTGCGCCCAATTTTTTTTAATTTTGAGCGAAGATATCTCGACAACCACCTGATCAAATTTTATGAAACGTTTTTTATTTGAATTCTACGGATTCATAGAATTCATATAAAACTGTTTTTATCGAATTTGGCCAGGTAGGTATCGAGATATCTTCGCTCAAAGTTAAAGGGAAATAAAAAATAAATGCTGCTGTATATATTGTCAATCATCGAATATGCATGAAACGTTACACAACCGGATGATCGACAAAACCTGGCACAGAATTTTTTCGTGCAAAAATGACTATATCGGGTTGGGATCCCGCGGCCTAGTGGTCTAGGCACCCAACCTTCCACAAGCAGGCTTTGGGTTCAGGTCCTAGTAGATATGGTTTCTATGAATATTTGAATATACTCACATGTGGGAAAGTTCAAGTAAATACAAGTCTGGAATAGGAATTTCTAGAAAGAGGTCTACTGTAGAAAGATGGCACTATGTATAACAAATAGACATTACAGAAGGTTCTATTACTCAAAGGTTGTGCATATAAATCCTTGTTGGTATAGATAGCATCAACAACCTCCAAGGTGGTATTGTGGATCTTGGTTGGGAGGATAACTAGGCAGTAACCAGAATTGGAGTAGTGAGAAAAGTGGTGAAATACAAAGAGATCTATGATGATAAAATATTATTAAAAATATTCTTATTAATTTTAAAGGTGGAGGATATGTAGATTATTTATTATATAATTTTGATGGTACAAATATTTTCTTTTAAAATAAAGAAAATTTTATTAAGTAAGTTATTTTAAAATTCATAATAAAGGTTATAGAGTAGATTTTTTTGATTTTAATAGTTGTAGTATTACTATGTGTTTACAAAAATTATAGGATGTTAACTAATCAAAATTAACTATTTTGAGCAACTATAAAGATTTAAATTGATTATAGAAAACTTTACAATATATATAAGTATATTTTTTTAAAATAATTTATTGTTAAAATTTATACTATTAAAAAGAAAATATTTTAATATAAATTATTGTTAAAATTTATACTATTAAAAAGAGAATATTTTAATCTACAAGCTAGCAAAATTTTAACAAAAACTAAATATTATTATAAAAAATTATATTAGTAATATACAGTCAGTTGACTCCCTCTAAGTACAGCTTACTAGGATCTATAAAATTTTCTTAAATAAAAAAATCTGCATTTAAGAAAACCTGCACTTAGAGAATACTAGTTCGACAGGTGGCACGAAGCGCTACCCATCTTATTTGTTTTATTAATTTCTGCTAAAGATTCTTTACAAAATTTATTATTTATTGCAATATGCGTAATATGTAGTTAAATTTTAATAAGTTTCATCAGAATTATTTATTAATGTGGTTACAGTTGAGATTGTCAATTTTTACTATAATTTGAAGTAAAAATTTCTATTATAGAACTTTCTATTCAATAATCACAGTATGTAATCACAGTTGAGTTTATTGCATTAGAATTATTATTACAGTTAATCACATGTTCTCTTGAAACACAATTGTTAAGGTGAATAGAATTATACTTCATTCTCACCTTGGTAATTTATTGAACAATTGAATGATTACAGTTAATCAATGTCTTGTAACACAATCGTTAGAGCGAATCGAATTAAACTTCATACTCACACTAGTAATTTATTTAAACATTTAAATGATTATGGTTAATTACACGTTCTCTTGTAGCACAATTGTTAAAGCAAACCGAATTAAACTTCGTACTCACATTGGTAATTTATTGAATGTTGAATGATTACGATTAATCAATGTCTTGAAACACAATTGTTAAAGCGAATCGAATTAAACTCCATACTCGCCCTGGTAATTTATTTGAATGATTAAATGATTACAGTTAATCACATGTTCTCTTGAAATACAATCGTTAAAGCGAATCAAATTAAATTTTTACTCACTTTGGTAATTTATTCGAATGATTGAATGATTTACAGTTAATCTATATCTTGAAACACAATCATTAAAGCAAATCGAATTAAACTTCATACTCACTCTGGTAATTTATTTGAACAAATAAATGATTATAGTTAATCACACGTTTTCTTGAACTACAATCATTAAGGTGAATCGAATTAAACTTCTTATTCACTCTGGTGATTTATTAAATGATTGAATAGTTATGGTTAATCACACATTCTCTTGAAACACAGTCGTTAAGATGAATTAAATTGACCTTTGTACTCACTTTGGTAATTTATTGAACTATTGAATAATTATAGTTAATCAATGGTTTAAAACACAATCAGTAAAGCGAATCAATTTAAACTTCGTACTTACCCTGGTATTATTTGAATAATTAAATGATTACAGTTAATTATACATTCTCTTGAAATACAATTATTAAAGTGAATCAAATTAATCTTCGTTCTCACCCTGGTAATTTATTTGAACGATTGAATGATTATGATTCTCTTGAAACACAAACATTAAAGCGAATCAAATTAATCTTTGTACTCACCCTAGTAATTTATTTGAACAATTGAATGATTACGGTTAATCACACATTCTCTTGAAATGCAATCATTAAAGTGAATCGAATTAAACTTTGTATTCACCTTGGTAATTTAT